ACACGGCAGGGCGGGTTAAAATTTTAACGGGTCAAGGCTTGCCCTGCCCCGCCCTACCTTGCCCGCCCTATTTGACATCCCTAGACAAGTGTGTGCATGAAAACATTATCGAAAACAGAGTAGATGATGTTCGTACCTTCCACCCCTTAGGCATGTGATAACCTTCATAATTTATATCAACAATTGCTTCTCGATAAGCTCCTATTATAGGCTGTTTCAGTCTCATAGCTTCACAAAGTACGTTCCACGAATACTTCATTTTCTGTATATCATCCCAGTTCAAAGACTCCCCTTCTTTTTTCGCTGAAGCTATCTTAATATGCTCTGCTTTTCATAATCCCAATGATCAGCAAATAAATTAATAAATAAATTGATAAAAGGGTTAAAGATATTCCTCTACTATATATGAAATATCTTAGTTTTAACATTCATTACTCTTTAAGACTATGTATACCTTAGCAAATTGTTTCGTACTTGCCCTTATCCCCTATGTTTACGGATTCGACCTAACCTATTAACTTTTGTGCAGACTCTGTATTTCTTTTGTGGAATTCATGGAATATGTACAAATTATTATTTTATAACTCAGTAACTAAAAAGAATTAGAATCTCGAACCCATAATCTTCAAATTCTGGCTCCGCCTCTGCTTATCGTAACTAGACACCCTAACCAAAGTATAACTAAAGGTAATTTTAAACCATAGTGACCTTTTTCAAAAGTATTTTGACACATGAACCCGATCATTCTACATTGGAGCTTCGTTAAGTTGACGGATAAGTACGAGATAATTTATTGGCGGTAAAGTTATAAATGACCACAAAGTATGACAGATAATAAAATTAAGATATTTCGTATACAAAAAAACGTAAATTAAGATATTTCATATAGCTAGATAACAGCTTTCTGAAGTACTGACCTTGCAGAATGTTTTCATAAACTTGAGGGTGCTCTCCCAGTCTCTTAATGAGTAAAGTAAGAGCTACAGTTGAAGTGTCATGGCCAGCAAAGAGCAGCAACAATATGTTATTAACAATAACAAGTTCAGACATGAACTTTCCATTTTCATCTGGGAAGGAAAGCAAATGAGACAAAATATCTTGTGAAGGTGAAGCTGTCTTTTGTTCTAAGGCTTCTCTTCTTTTTCGGACTATTTGCAATAGTTCTTTTCTGATAGTAACTACAGCTCTAGTTGCTTTGTGAAAAGTTGTACCAGGTAAATTTACAGGGATTGCTATTAATCCTTTCAAGAAAATGTTGAAAAGTGTTGAAAGCTTTTCAATTTCATTGTGGTCTTCAATGCTCATGAATAGCTGACATGCCACTTTGAAAGTGTATAATTTGAGGAGATGGTACACCTTCACCTGCTCTTTACCTTCATAAATATAGAGCACAAAAAGAAAAAGATTAAATACAATAGTAATTGCTATATTGGATAGGTTGTTACAGGAGTTCTTATATTGGTAATATCGACTGATTCCCAACATTAGACCCTCCTTTAATTTGGGAATACTTGATATTACAAAAGCTATTTTTCATAAAAAATATATTCCGAATGTTTGTTTAATAGTGAAAGGAAAAAAATGACCTCTCTCACTTATGACAAAAGTTATTTTCCTTACAAGTATCTTCATTTTTTATTTTATATTATACGCTCCAATTAAAAGTTAGATAATATTATTAATCTTTAGAACTACAATAATTTAATGATATACTTTGGTTTGTTAATATTATACAAAATCTATTCTAGAAAAAAATGAAGCAATAAACCAACGACGAAACTTAGTAGTTTGAACGCTACATACTCTAAACCCAAGAATTGTTAAGCTAATTTGTTCAAAAATGCCATATTGTAGTCTTAGTTTCTAATGTGTTTCATAAGTTGAGTTTGACGGTTGGAGGATGTGGGTGTTCAAGGAATTGTTACAACAATAGTAAGAACTAAGCCTTAATCTCATGTTAGTAAACCGGCATCAGTCAGCTATAGGAATTTTTAATCTGTTCTATTCAAATCCGTCCCAATCTAATAAGTATTACATAATAGTATACTTTCTCTAATATTAACCGTTCCTACATTTTTACTACCTCTATCTGTTTTAATTTATGTGATCTGTCCTAAAAAGAATAAAATATTTTTATATTTAATAATAATTTAACTTATAAATTTTTTATTTTATCCTTAATTGTGATAATTTATATCGACATAAAATTCTATGCACTGTTTTAGATCATAAAGTTTTAAAAGTGTTTCTTTTATTCTTAAATTTCGGGTTTAGTCAAACACCATTAAATAAATTGGAACGGAAAGAATAGTATATAAATATCAAGCAAGACTAAAATATTACTCCCTCCGTTCATTTTTATTTGACAGATATACTAAAAATAAATTTTTATTTTTACTTGTCACTTTACGCATATCAAGAAAAGATAATTTTTTTCATGTTTAACCTTAATTCATTAACCAACATTTCTTGAATAAATAATAGTCAATTGTAGCTTTCCAATGCTCAATATTGGAATTCACATAGAACTCTTCATTATTCTCTTCGTTAAACACAAAAGTCCACTAAAACTATCTTTTATTCTCTTATTCTTTGTAATATTTTTTTCTTTGGAAGTTATTTGGAAATTTGGATTCAATTATTGAGTATTAATTAATAGGATTATTGTGATAAAATTATCATATCAATCATTATTTTTTAAAGACATAAAAAGTTAAAACGTGATAAGTAAAAGTGAAGAGGAAGTATGTGACTGATGTGTTACCTTCCCAATACTTGTCGACGTGGTCCAGGGCAACAACTTCCATGGTTTTGGTGTAGAGTCTCGAAAAAGCATCAGGGCTAATAAAATAAGAAAGCATCTTCCTCATGAGTTTGGCTTCTTCTCCAACACTAGTAATCAAACAAGGTCCTAACAATTTTCTAATAGTTACAGGCCACCAAACATTGACTTTCTTGTTTTCATTGCTAAACAAGAACTTATTACCCCCAGCACCCCCAATTACAACGACATTCTCCCCCATTATCGAAGTCTTGAAGATTTTAGACTTGTATTTCTCTATTCTGTCTTCTACAAATTTCTCTGGCTTGCCTTCTCGGTTTGCTCTGAGAAAATCCAGTGTTTCTCCAACAATTGGCCATCCGCTGCTTCCAGGAGGAAAATTCAGTGTCTTTTTCTTCCTTCTGAGGAAGAAACTTATAAAAATTGTGATTACTAAAAGCAATATGAAAACAGATGGTAAGTCAATTGAAGCCATGTTTGAGAATGAATGCATTTTTTATATTACCTTGTTGTCGATTATAAATAGCAGTTACTATAGTTTCTACTACTGTGTTATAGAACATTCCGTGGCGTACATAAATACACCGCTCCTGTTTGTTTTTATGACACATAGTGCTTATTCTGAACCAAAAGTTAGAGCAGATCTTTTTGCTTCTAATGTCAAGTTCTATTTAATAAAGAATCTATTGGAATATATTTATTGTATAAACATTTGTCACGGTGGGAGTTGTACGGGGCAAAATATGTTATGCTAAATAATTGCATTAAAGAGTGGCACGTGAAGCCGAAGGCAGAGGATAACTAAAATCGAAGACAACTGTTCCATTTGTTATCGGAAAGAATGACGCTCATAAAGATACAATAAATATCTGCCAGCATTTAGTACGCTGCCCGTTACAAAGAGTTTGTCATTTATGCTCACCGTTACACATTCTTCAATGACCCTTATAATTGACATTAAAGAAGGGAATGATCCTAAGACCTTGTTCCTTAGGTGCAGTTATAAATAGTGAGCTCTGTTATCATTGTAAGGGGGACGGATTTTCTGAAAAACTGACGTTATAATCTATTCAAAACTTTATACAATTTTACCTTCTTACTTTTTTGATTTTATTATTATTGTGCCCGGAAGCCATGCTCCCAGAATTACTGTTTCTGCTATTTCATCTTCATCTCAAGGCTAGGTATTGCATATTTCTTCAATTCTTGTATTATTTCAGGATCGAATTAATTCCCTTGTCTAGAAGCCACATATAAATTCAACTGTATCGTTTTACGGGTAAACAGTTTGGCATCCATCGTGGGGCCTAGACAGTCGTGTAATTAAGTTGGTCCTTGCCTCTTTTACTAACCTGTTTTGATTATTTGTTCTTAGCAAAAAATCACAGAAAATGGCAGATAATGGTGTTATCAACACACACGATCTTGAGGCCCAAGGAGACTAGCCTCACCACGAGGATTCAATCACTAACACCCGCGATGAGGGAAACAATGCTACGCCGGTCCACTGCAGGCGGTGCCCGCGACATGTTCGGGAAGCGAGTCCTGATGATGCTAAAGAGGAGCATGTTATTGAAGTGGTAAGGGTCCTGCAAGAGCAACAAGAGGTCATTCTAGGTCATCTCACACGGCAGGATAAGGTTATGACAGAAATAAAGCAGGCATTGTCGGATGCTTCCAATAACGCAAATGGACAAGGTCCAGTTTCTCCCGGTGCTCCCGCAAATCAAACAACATAGAGGGTCGACAACAACACCCCGAGGGGCGAGGTCAGCTTTGATGGGGCCGGGAGGGGGTTCCGGTCATAACAACAAGAGTGATCCCTTCAAAAACGAGCTCTTACGGTTTATGAGGGAAGGGAATGCCCGCATGGACCAAATACCGGGTGCACCACCGGTGCTGAAAGGGCCGGACTCAAAGAAGTATACTCAGTTACCGTATAAAATAAACGTGGCAACAGAATTGATCCCGAAGCGATTTAAAATGTCCGACGTGCCGAAATATGATGGAACTTCGGACCCTCAAGAGCATATCACCGCCTATACAACGGTGGAGAATGGGAATGATTTAGCTCTCCACGAGATTGAATCTGCTTTGCTGAAGAAATTCGGAGAGACTCTCACGATGGGAGCCTTGACGTGGTATTCGCTGTTACCCGAGCATTCCATAGATTCCTTTGAGATGCTCGCGTAGTCTTTTATTAAGGCTCATTCCGGGGCCAGGAAGGTGCAGGCCCAAAAGACCGACATATTTAGAATTGCACAAGGAGAGTCCGAGTTGCTACAAAAATTCGTCACCCTAGAGGATGTTTCTCTCAGATGTTCCGGATGAATGGGCGACTGAAGCATTCACCAAGGGATTGAATCCAAGAAGTTTTGATGCTTCCCAGAAATTGAAGAAAAGCTTGCTTGAGTTCCAAGCGATGACTTGGGCTGATGTTCACAACTAGTATGAGTCTAAAATAAGGACTGAGGATGATCAGATTATCTTTCCGGTGTCGGCAAAAGGTCGGGAGAAGAATAAATAAAAATCAAAAGACAATTTCGACACAAATAGACGGTCTTTGAGGGGTCGGTTTTTGCCCTACGAACGAGCCAAAGGACACGGCAGAGGTTTCCGGTCGGCAGACAGGTTCGTTACCGACAGAAGAACTGATCGAGGTCGGAACAACAGATCATTGCAGACAAAGAAACATCAGGTACACAGGATACTTCCTACCCCAGGATATCAGAATACAACTTCAATATCAGTGTAGTAGATTGGCATCGGCTATGAGGAACATTAAAGAAGCACAGTTCATGAAGCTGATGAGGTCCAATCCCAGCCAGAGGGATCCCAATTTGTGGTGCGAATATCACAGGATGAATGGCCACCGCACTGGGGATCACAGACATCTGCGTGAAGAGGTGGCGACACTACTAAAAAATGGCCATCTCAGGGAATTTTTAAGTGACCGTGATAACGCGAAGAACTCAAAAATAGGAGAAGACTGTGTCATACTATCAATATGATCTTGGGGGGAGGGGGGACGAGATCAACGGGGTTACCTTCTCGGCAACAAAGAAGACGAAGGTATCAATAACCCATAGCAAGAGACTCCGGGAAGTCATTGAAGACGACATCACTTTCAGGAGGAGGACGTAGACGGACTATTGCTATCGCACAACGACGCATTGGTAATTTCTTTAAATGTACTAGATTTTAAAATCAGATGTGTTCTAGTGGATCTAGGAAGTTCGGACAATATCATACAATGGAGGGTATTAGAGCAAGCCAAACTTACCGGAAGTATCATTCTAGCCACAAAACTCCTCGCCGGATTCAACCTCGCAAGCGTGACAACCCGATGAGAGATCTTGCTGCCCACGAATGCCGAAGAGGTGATAAAGACAACCTTTTTCGAAGTTGTGGACGGTCATATGGGTTATAACGTTATACTAGGAAGACCATGATTGCACGAGATGAGAGCCATACTATCAACATATCATCAGTTGTTGAAATTCCCAACTCCCGAAGGAATTAAATAGATAAAAGGCAACCAACCGACAGCAAGGGAGATGAATGCGATTTCGGTGTCCAGTAGCAAAGGGAAGGAGCATGCGACATAGTAATTACAGGAACCGGCGCCCACTCTCGAATTAAGTGAAGTTAGCCAGGGGAGAAGCGTCGGAATCTTATCAGATGCCAAGATACTTCCAGGTACCAGAAGAGACGTATGTAACAAAGTCTACAATGGAAGAGCTCGGGCAAGTTGCATTGTTTGAAAAGTTCTTGGAGAGGAAATTCTACTTAGGGACAAGACAGCACCCCGAGCTCAGATCTGGCATTATTGAATTTCTTAAGAATAATGTAGATTGTTTTGCGTGGTCGCATGCGGATATGACAGGTATCCCAACGGAAGTGGCCGTACACAAGCTAAGCTTGGATCCCAACATCCCTCTGGTAAGACAAAAGAAATGCCCTATTGTGGAGGCCATGAATAAATTCGTCAAAGAATAGGTAACTCGCCTACTTGATATCGGTTCGATCCAAGATGTAAAGTATCCAGACTGGCTAGCTAATGTAGTAGTAGTTCCTAAGAACGACAATAAATTTTGCATGTGCGTAGATTATAAGGACTTGAATATGGCGTGTCCAAAAGTCTCATTCCCACTGCCAAACATCGATCAAATGATTGATGCAACAGCCGGGCACGAGTTAATGAGTTTCCTCGATGCTTATTCCGGGTACAACCAAATTAAGATGAACCTGTAGGATCAGGAAAAGACTTTGTTCATAACGAATTTTGGCACATATTGCTATAATGTGATGTCCTTCAGGCTAAAGAACGCCGGAGCCACTTATCAACGGCTCATAAACAAGATGTTTGAAAAACAGATAGGGAAAACCATGGAAGTTTATATAGACGATATGCTTGCTAAGTCTTTGAATGCATGTGATCATCTTAAGCATTTCCAAGAAGCTTTTGACATCCTAAGGAAGCATAACATGAAGTTTAATCCTGAGAAGTGCGCGTTCGGGGTCAGCTCTGGCAAGTTCCTAGGATTTCTGGTGTCTTTAATAGGGATTGAGGTAAACCCCGATAAGATCAAAGCCATCGAAGACATCCCAGACCAGCTATCAAGCGTGAAAGAAGTTCAAAGGCTCATAGGGAGATTGGCCGCTTTGAGCAAGTTTATTTCCCCCTCATTAGAGAAATGCCAACGTTTCTTAGTGCTGCTCAAAAAGAAAAACAACTTCGAATGGACCCCGAAAAGCCAGCAGGCTTTAAGAGATTTAAAAAGGTACTTGTCAAGCCCTTCGTTACTATTAAAACCGAAGGAAGGTGAAACACTGTTAATCTGCTATCAGTCTCGGAGGTTGCGGTAAGCGCTGTTTTAGTCCATGAGCTTGAAGGTACGCAATCTCCCATTTATTACATTAGTATAATTTTAATGGGAGCGTAAACTCACTACCCATATTTGGAGAAGCTGGCCTTAGCTCTCGTAGTCGCCGCTCGGAAGCTGAGGCCTTAATTCCAATGTCACCCGATAGCTCTGGTGACCACCTTTCCCCTGCAGAATATCCTTCACAAACCTGAAGTCTCGGGTAGATTGGCCAAATAGGCCGTCGAAATGAGTGAATTCGACATAGTATAAACCTAGGACAATGATCAAGTCACAAGTTTTGGCTGACTTTGTGGCCTATTTCAGTCCGGGATTGCTGCCTCTAGTAACTAAAGAAGTAGTGATGGTGTCAGAATCGACATCGGGGGTTCTGACTTTATTTACGGATGGAGCTTCCAATGTAAAAGAGTCCGGGCTTGGCATAGTATTAACCACGACTTCGGGAGAAACCCTAAGGCAAGCCATAAAAATGGTCCCTTTAACTAACAACGAAGTAGAGTATGAAGCTTTGATTGCAGGAATCAAACTGGCCCAGGGACTAGATTTCGAGGTCATAGAAATCAAATGCAACTCTCAGTTGGTGGTAAATCAGGTCTACGGGATCTTTGAAACCAAAGAGGAGCGCATGCAACAATAGATAGTGAAGGTCCATGCTCTGCTAACCTTGGTTCATCAACGAAAATGAGGTAACCTTGGTTCATCAACGAAAATGAATGGATCG